GAGAAGAATTTGAGGTAAGATTTCTGAAAAACTTCTCTTGAATCTCAGATTTTTCATATTAGAAAACTTATTTTGGTTCGAAATGGATTTTGGGTGAAATCATGGTACAAATTGTAAATTTTTAGTTCTATGGACTTGATTTAGTAACTAGAACCTAAATTAGGTTGTTTGCCCTTGAAATATTTCAAATTGGAACTCAAAATTGCAGGTTTTCAAATTGATTTGGCGAGTTTCCTCGCCTTGCTGATCCCACCGGTCGACCTATGCGGTCGACCGGGTTGCACAACACCAGTCGACCGGTGGTGTTGCACATCTCTGTCACCGGTCGACCGGTGTACACGGGGTTTGACCCTGTTTTGTTGAAAAACCCTGTTTTTGCCTCGATTTTTTAGGGGAACCCAAATTAGCTTCATTTGGGGACCTAAAGTGAATGGATTAGCATCCCCTTGGAATGATGATTTGAAACATAAAATGATTTATGGAATTTGAAATTGGATTAAGGCGCACTAATAGGAAATCAAAGGGTATAATTGAGATTGAATGCTTTAGGAATGAGAATTGGATCCTAAAGTGTTGTTTTATATCAGTGATAGTTGAGGAATCAAACTGAAGGCTTCGAGGAAGTGAAGGCTAGGAAAGCGCAACGCTAGCCATAGGTTTGGTGCTTGAGAGGGAGGATTTCTTACCCCTTTCTTTGTTAGCCTTATTTTAAAGGAGTTTTGGCCTTGCAAATGTTTTAAAGAAAGGGCATGTTTACGAAAGAAAAGTATTTTCAAAACAATAGCTTGATTTTAGCTATTAGAATTATAATGAACTATTTCAGAAAGTTTAATGAATGATTTATTAAGATAAGAGATCTTGCGAATCAGTAAACTGGTTGATGGCCTAGATAGGATATGGAGGGTGTATCCTTAGGGGCAGAACCTGAAACCTAGACCGGGCCACTATGGTGGTGTTAAGGCTTGTGGTTGTGGTTGTGTAAGTAATTTATCAGAGGATAAATTACTTGCTAATGCCTGTAATACTGAAATTTTCAATTTATATTCCTTTTAGAAAAAGGATGTGAGGTTCCGACTGTTGTGTTGAAACTAAATGTCTAATTTTATTTATTTATTCATCTATTTACTTGTTCATTCATTTATTTACTTGTTTACAAAGCTTATTTAAAAATACATCCTAGTGGGCCTTTCGCTCACGTTTTATCTGTTTTATAAATATTAACCCCCTCCCAGGCAACTCTAGGAGGAGTGTTGAATAGCTGATATAACTGCTACCCTCTGATCTAGTGAAGATTGTGATCATCCTTCCTGTGTACAAATGTAAGAGTTGTAAATTCTGTAAACTCTGAACTTTTGATTTCTAGACTGTGATTGATGTCTGTAATGTTATTTACATGTTCATGTATGTACAATACTGCATATCCTGTGGGTGAAGCCCTGAACGATTTAGAAAGTGCGGAAGACCCCGTAACTTTCTTGTAATTTATTTTCAGCTAAATAATGGGCCTCATTTGGAAATTTTCTTTAATATTTTATCTTTGGTTTTGATTACTATATTTTAAATTATTTAATTACGTTCCTAATCGCGTTTAACTCCTAAACGAGCCTCCATGTCACTAACTGTAATACCCCGAAGAATTAAATGAGATAAATAAGGAAATTAAGATTTATCAGTGTTCCTAATCTGGTTTAATTAATTGATTATTGATTAATAAATGTTTCTGACGTGTAAATTTAAATAATTCTAAGGTATTTAAATATTCTCAGTATTTATATTTTTACCCAGAAGTGTCTATGGGCACATTTTCCGGATTGTCTTTTAAATATTAGAAACTTGTCTTTTCTTTTCTTTTTCTTTTCTTTTCTTTTCTTTTCTTTTCTTCCTTTTCTTTTTCCTTTCCCGTGCATACTCTCTCTCTCTCTCACTCTATCGTTCCCTCACTCTCACTCCCTCTCTTCCATTTTGTCTCAAATCAACCGGATCTTAAACCAATAAAGGATTTAAAGAAGTTTTCAACATCAAGAGAAGGATTTGAGGTAAGATTTCTGAAAAACCCTCTTTTGAATCTCGGATTTTGTATATTAGAAAACCTATTTTGGTCTAAAATGGATTTTGATGGATTTTGAGTAAAACCATGGTAGGAATTGGAGATCTTGGGTTCTTTGGATTTGATTCAGTACCTAGATCGCGGATCTAGTGGTTTTCCTTTGAGATTTTTCGATTTGGGACTTGGATTTGCAATTTTTCTGCTGATTTTCTTCAGATCGACCCTTCTGGCCATCCTACCTTGATTCCACCAGTCGACTGGTCTGCACTATATCAGGTCGACCTGTGCGGTCGATCGAATTGCACACCATCGGTCGACCGGTGGTGTTGCACTGCGCTGTCACCGGTCGACCGGTGTACACTGGGTTTGACCTTATTTTGCTGAAAAACCCTGTTTTGACCTCAATTTTTGAGGAGGACCCAAATTAGCTTCATTTGGGGACCTAAAGTAAATGGATTAGCTTCTTTAATCCATATTTTGAGATTGAAAACCCTTGTAATGATGATTTGAAACATGAAATGGTTTGTGAAACCGGTAATTGAATTATGGCACACTAATAGGAAATCAAGGTGTATAATTAAGATTGAAATTGCTTTAGGAATGTGAATTGGATCCTAAAGTGTCGTTTTGTATCAGTGCTAACTGAGGACTCGGATTGAAGGGCTTAAGGAAGTGAAAGCCGGAATAGAGTAACGCTAGCCACAAGTTTGATATTTACGAGGTGGGATTTCTTACCCATTTCTTTGTGAGCCTGTTTTCAAAGAGTTTTGGCCTTGCAAATGTTTTAAAGAAAGGGCATGTTTGCGAAAAAAAAGCCTGTTTAAAAACAATAGCTTGATTTTAGCTATTGGAATTATAATGAACTGTTTCATAAAGTTTAATGAATGATTTCTTAAGACAAGAGATCTTATGAATCGATAAACCGGCTGATGGCCTAGATAGGAAGTGGAGAGTGCATCCTTGGGGGCAGAACCCGAAACCTGGCCCGGGGGTGATTAGGCTTGTGCACGTGGTTGTGTAAGTAATTTATCATAGTATAAATTACTTATTGATGCCTGTAATACAGAGATTTTCAGTTATATTTCCTTTGAGAAAAAGGATGTGAGGTTCCAGCTGTTGTGTTGGAATTGAATGTCTTATTTATTCATTTATTTACTTTCTTACCCATTTATTTATTTATAAAGTTATTTCAAAATATATCATACTTTCGCTCACGTTTTATTGTTTTATAAATGTTAAACCCCTCCCAGGCAACTCTAGGAGTAGTGCAGAGTAGCTGAGTTGCTACCACCCGATAAAGAGAGGATTGTGTTCATCCTCCTGGTGTACGAATGTAAGAATTTGTAAATTCTGTAAACTCTGATATTTGGATTTCTAGACTGTGGTTGATGTCTGTATGCTATTTACATGTTCATGTATGTACAATACTGAAGATCCTGTGGATAGATCCTGTAGGTGTAGTCCTGAAGAGTGTTAGAGGCGGGAGTTTTAGCCTTTTGAGATGTTTTTATAATTTATTTTTGGTAAAATAATGGGGCTCGTTTGGAGATTTCTTTAATATTTCACTGTTGGTATTAATTATTAAACGTTTAACTCCTAATCGAGCCTCCACGTCACCGACCCCGGCTTCAGGGCGTGACACTAACCCTAGCTTCGGAGCGTGATAGAGTGGTATCAGGGCCTTAGGTTTAGAAACCATAGGATTGTACATACATGTGTGACATCAGGAATCCACTAAACAATCTAGTTTCTTTTCAGTTAAAGGAGATGCCGCCACGTCGTAGATCTGTTAACCAACCGACACCACAAAATCAAGAATTCATGGATGCCATGTATGCTGATTTCCAAGGGATGGCCATTCGAATTCCTAGTGATGCCTTTTAGGCTGACAAATGCCCCAGCTGCATTCATGGATTTAATGTATCGGGTCTTCCGGCCGTACTTAGATCAGTTTGTGATCGTCTCCATCGATGACATTCTGGTTTACTCGAAGACTTGGGAGGAACATGAGCAACATTTGAGAATTGTTCTTCAGACTCTTCGTGAACACCAGTTGTATGCAAAGAAAGAGAAGTTCGACTTCTGGCTGACGAAAGTGAAGTTCCTTGGACACGTGATATCAGGACAAGGAATTTCTGTAGATCCTTCCAAGATTGAGACTGTGCTACAGTGGGAAAGGCTGAAGAATATGGCAGAGATTCAAAGTTTCCCCAGACTTGCAGGATATTATCGACGTTCGTAAAGGACTTCTCGAGCATTGCTGCACCGATGACTCGGTTTACCAAGAAAGAAGTCAGATTCGAATGGAACGCTGAGTGTGAATATGTTTTTCAGGAACTGAAGGCAAGACTGACAAGCGTACCAGTCCTGACTATACCCAATTGTAAAGAGCCATATGAGGTATATTCTGATGTCTCGAGGAGTGGATTTGGTTGTGTTTTGATGTAAGGTGGATGCGTTGTAGCCTACGCATCTCACCAATTGAAGCCACACGAACGGAACTACCCTACTCATGATTTAGAGCTAGCAGCAGTGATATTTGCTCTAAAGATATGAAGATGTTATCTCTATGGAGCAAAGTTTCAGGTCTTCTCTGACCACAAGAGTTTGAAGTACTTGTTTACTCAGAAAGATCTGAACCTCCAGCAGAGGAGATGGATGGAATACATGGAAGATTACGACTTTACGTTGCCATACCATCCTGGAAAAGTTAAAGTGGTCGCTGATGCCTTTAGCAAGAAGACTACAAGAACTATGGCGTCATTAGCTTTAGAAGACTAGAAAAGAACTAAAGTAGTAAGCGATTATGATCTTTAGTACTACGAGGATTATAACCAGACAATGGTGTATAATCTGATCTCTACACCGGCTCTTATGCAACAAGTTAAGCATAATCAATGATAGGATCCCCATCTCTAAGGAATTTGGATTCGAATTCAGAATGTAGAGCAACATGAGGATTGGAGAATCCGAGAGGATGAAGCACTTTATTTCCACAACCGCCAGGCTGTTCCTAAGGCGGATGAGATCAAAAAGACAATTCTACATGAGGCGCATACATTGCGGTATGCTATTCATCCGGGAAGTACCAAGATGTTCCAGGATCTGAAAAGATAATACTTGTGGAGAGGTATGAAGAAAGACATTCGTAAGCATGTTTCAGAATGTGTAACTTGTCTCCAGATTTAAGCAAAACACCAGAAGCTTGCTGGAGAATTGCAGCCTCTACCTATCCCAAGATGGAAATGGGAACATATCACCATGGATTTTCTGATGGGACTTCCGAGAACTAAGCAGAAGCACGTTGCCATCTGGGTGGTGGTGAATAGGTTGACGAAATCTGCACATTTCATACTATTCCGTGTGACATATTCCTGAAAGATTATGGTAGAGTTGTACCTTGAGCATATCGTCAGACTTCACGAAGTGCCACTGTCTATCACATCTGACCGCAACACTCGTTTTAATGCAAGGTATTAGAAAAGTTTTCAGGAAGCCATGGGAACATAATTAAATTTTAGCATAGCATTTCATCCTCAGACTGATGGGCAATCTGAAAGAGTTATTCAGATTCTGGAGGATATACTTCATGCTTGTATTCTGAATTTTGGTGGAAACTGGAAGAAATATTTTCACCTTGCTGAATTTGCTTACAGTAATAGCTATTAGGCCAGTATCAGTATGGCACCGTTTGAAGCTCTCTATGGTCGACCTTGCAGATCACCTGTTTGTTGGCTGGAACCAGAAGATTGACTCACTATTGGACCAGAAGTTATTCAAGAGAATAACAAGAAGATAGCTCTTATCCGAGAACGACTGTTAACAGCTCAAAGTCGTCAAAAGAGCTATGCTGACCGAAGGCATAGACCTTTGGAATTCCAGGAAGGTGAATTCATTTTATTGAAGGTTCCCCCACGCAAAGGAGTTGTCCATTTTGGTATAAAAGGGAAACTTGCGCCAAGGTACGTTGGACCATTCCCGATCGTGCAACGAGTTGGTGTCGTGGCGTATCGTCTGGCTTTACCGCTTGAGCTATCTCATGTGTATGATGTGTTCCATGTCTTCATGCTTCGTAAATCTCAACCTGATCCAGAAGCTATGGTACAATGGTATGACGTTCCGATACAGTATGACGCGACATACGAGGAAGCACTAGTTCAGATTCTTGATCGGAAGATGAAGAGTTTGTGTCATCGTGAGATTCCATTAATGAAAGTTTTATGGCAGCATCATGGAGTTGAGAAAGCAACATGGGAGCTTGAAACAATGATGCAGGAGCAGTACCCGCATCTGTTTTCACTGTGAGGTAAGTCCTAATTTCGGGGATGAAATTCCTTAAAGGCAGTGGAGTTGTAACACCTCGACAAATTAAACTGGATTAATTAAGGTAACTAAGATTTATTAGTGTGCCTAATATCGTCTAATTAATTAATTATTAATTAATAAATGTTTCTGACTTGTGAATTTAAATATTTTAAGTATTTACATTTTCACCCCAGAGTGTGTGTAGACACATTTTCTAGACTGTCTTTTAATTTTTGTGACGCCTGTCATTTCCTTTTTCTCTTTCTTTTCTTTTTCTTCCTTTTCTTTTTCCTACCATGCATCCTCACGCTCTCTCTCGCTTCTCTATCGTTCTTTACTCTCTCTCATTTGCTTCTCTCTCTCTCTCTCCCATTTTCTCTCGTAAATCAACCGGATTTCGAGCCAAAGAAGAATTTCAAGGAGTTTTCAACGTCAAGAGAAGAATTTGAGGTAAGATTTCTGAAAAACTTCTCTTGAATCTCAGATTTTTCGGATTAGAAAACTTATTTTGGTTCGAAATGGATTTTTATGGATTTTTGGTGAAATTATGGTAGAAATTGGGGAGTTTTGGTTCTATGGACTGGATTTAGTAATTAGAACCTGGATTTGGTTGTTTCCCCTTGAAATATTTCAAATTGGAACTCAAAATTACAGGTTTTCAGACTATTTTGGCGAGTTTCCTCACTTTGCTGATCCCACTGGTCGACCTATGCAGTCGACTGGATTGCAGACCACCGATCGACCAGTGGTGTTGCACATCTCTGTCTCTGGTCGACCGGTGTACATGGAGTTTGACCCTGTTTTGTTGAAAAACCTTGTTTTGGCCTCGATTTTTTAGGGGAACCCAAATTAGCTTCATTTGGGGACCTAAAGTGAATGAATTAGCATCTTTAATCTAGTTTTGAGATTGAAAACCCTTGGAATGATGATTTGAAACATAAAATGATTTATGAAATTTGAAATTGGATAAGGCGCAATAATAGGAAATCAAAAGGGCTTTAGGAATGAGAATTGGATCCTAAAGTGTTGTTTTATATCACTGATAGTTAAGGAATCAAACTGAAGGCTTCGAGGAAGCGGAGGCTAGGAAAGCGCAGCGCTAGCCACAGGTTTGGTGCTTGAGAGGCAGGTTTCTTACCCCTTTCTTTGTTAGCCTGATTTTAAAAGAGTTTTGGCCTTGCAAATATTTTAAAGAAATGGCATGTTTGCGAAAGAAAAGTATTTTCAAAATAATAGCTTGATTTTAGTTATTGAAATTATAATGAACTATTTTAGAAAGTTTAATGAATGATTTCTTAAGATAAGAGATCTTGCGAATCGGTAAACCGGTTGATGGCCTAGATAGGATATGGAGAGTGTATCCTTAGGGGCAGAACCTGAAACCCGGACCGGGCCACTACGGTGGTGTTAAGGCTTGTGCTTGTGGTTGTGTAAGTAATTTATCAGAGGATAAATTACTTGCTTATGCCTGTAATACGGAAATTTTCAGTTTATATTCCTTTTAGAAAAAGGATGTGAGATTCCGACTGTTGTGTTGGAACTCAATGTCTACTTTTATTTATTTATTCATCTATTTACTTGTTCATTCATCTATTTACTTGTTTACAAAGCTTATTTAAAAATACATCCTACTGGGCCTTTCGCTTACGTTTTATCTGTTTTATAAATATTAACCCCCTCTCAGGCGACTCTAGGAGCAGTGCTAAATAGCTGATATAACTGCTACTGTCTGATCTAGTGAGGACTGTGATCATCCTTCCTGTGTACAAATGTAAGAGTTGTAAATTATGTAAACTCTGAACTTTTGATTTCTAGACTATGGTTGATGTCTGTAATGTTATTTACATGTTCATGTATGTACAATACTGCATATCCTGTGGGTGAAGCCCTGAACGATTTAGAAAGTGCGGAAGACCCCGTAACTTTCTTGTAATCTATTTTCAGCTAAATAGTGGGTCTCGTTTAGAAATTTTCTTTAATATTTTATCTTTGGTTTTGATTACTATATTTTAAATTATTTAATTACATTCCTAATCGCGTTTAACTCCTAAACGAGCCTCAACGTCACTAACTCCGGCTTCGGGGTGTGACAGAGTGCTAACTTACATTACAAAATAAATTAATTCTTAAATAAATGCATGGCATTTGATGCACGTAATTAATTTAGTGCATTAATTAACACAAATAAAGGTTTAGGCCTCAACAGTTATAATTAGCTTGAAAAGGGTCGTTTCGTTTGTACACAAAGAAAGCAAAGAATAATAAGCCACTTCCGAAGGAGGGTTAACAATTACAGTTCCAACAGGTAAAGTTTGGAATATAAGAATCCAGAAATCCACAAGGAAAGCTATTTGACTTTGCACCATCTTGATTATCATGATCAGCTAAAATGGTGTTTTAAGCCCCATATATATATACTAACACGTTGATTGTTTTCATGATCAAGACACAAAGTAAACCATCAAATCGTAACTAATTGATTAAGAATTTCATTTGAGTTCAATGGCAAATACTGCTAGAGGCGCCCGTCCGGTTGTTGAAAATTTTGTGCCTGGTTCTGGTTGGACAGAGGACTCAAGTGGCCATTATCTTCTAATTGATCTTCCTGGTACTATTCCAAAATCTTTAACATATTATTATTCTAATTAGTTATTTTGATACCTTGTAAATTGATGTTATTGTTTGTTGCCTTGATATGGTTTTCTTTTCCTCTAATGTTCAATTTAAATGAAGAAAAACATAATGGAGCTGATTTATTTTCTATAGAAAAGTGAAAAAAAAAAAATAGAAAACTTTAATTATCGACCATTATGAAGATCTTTTTTTTTCCCTGATTAGACTTATAACCATATATGATGAAAATGTCACACAAGCAACCGTGGAACAAAGTCATAAAATTGATAAATATGATTATTATCTCTTAAGGGAAAAAAAAAAAAGGCTATGTGTGGACTAAATTCTGGAAGCAAACTCAATCTATGAGCTCTTAAACACATTACAATTACTCAATTGAGAAACTATGACAACTTCAGTGATTGTTTTTTACTATAAAGGTTTCCAGAAGGATCAGGTGAAGATACAAATTTTTAACTCCGGACTTATAGAGGTCACCGGAGAAAGACCAGTAAATGAGAACAAACACATTCGGTTCGAGCAGGAATTCGAGGTTCCTAAAAACTCAGATGCAGATGGCATCACAGCAAAATTTGATGGTGAAATTCTCTACGTAACTGTTCCAAAGCACAAGGTGGAAGAGAAGAAAGAACCTGAACCGAAGAAAGAACCCGAACCCGCTGGCGTAAAAGACCAAATTGCAAATGGCGCCGCAAAAGATCAGAATATGTGTGAAAAACCGAAAGACAAAGAAGCCAAAAAGAAAGACGACAAAAGTAAGAAGGAAGAAGGAAGCCGCCAAAAAGGCCCCGTTAGTCTTTCAGAAGATAGTGAGAAGAGATGGGAAGGTGAGCCTAGTTATCTAACAAGGGTAATGGAGATGTTGAGCAGAAACAAAGGGATTGTTGTGACAACCGTATTAGCAGTGTCGTTAGGGATATTCATATCTCGAACATTCAAGGCTGATGAAAAGTGAAAAGAAGACTCTGCAATCTTTGTATTGTTGCTTGTAACTTCTTCTATTATGTAACTTGTACCACATAATATTATTTGCATGAATATTTTCACATAATGGATAAAGTTAATATCCAAGATTTTCATGCATGCTAATAGTAATAGATATATTAATTTCTTGAAATGTTCCGACCTGAAGTGATCATGAAATCTTCAAGAAACTCAAAACTATAACAAAACGCAACAAACTGCAAATTCGTCGCTAAGGGGTCTTTAGCAATGACGAGTCGGCGCTACAAATCCATCACCAAAACTATTTAGTGGCAGATTGGCGTGTCTTGCTAAATGTTGTGTCAAAGTTAAACGATTAAAATTGTCGCTAAATAGTGGTCGTATAATATTGCTCAAGGACGTCTTACAGTGACCGATCCAGAAATTAAATTTAGTGGGGGCACATGTAAAAATATAATAACATTAAATTGCATACTTTATAGGGCAGTAATTGATCATTGCAAAAGAAAAGGAACATGAGAGAAAAGAAAAACAAATATAAATTAAGAGACTCAAAGAGCCTGTCTACATGCGAAAAATGAAAAAAAAAAAAAAAATGAAAAAAAAAACAAACGTAACGTCAAGGAACAGAATGACAAAACCCAATTTAAGAGGAAAAAAGAAAGAAGAAATAATAGCAATAAGTAGAATGTAATAGGACAAAATTATAGTGTTGTATAAAACTAAAGTGACATTTAAAAGAGAGAGAGAGAGAGAAAAAAAAAAGAATATGTCTAATGCATCAATATTGAAGCCCAAAACCAAAAGAAACTAGAAAAAAAAATAAAAATAAACATGTATGTTGATTGCTAAAATTAGTGAGGGCACAATTTAATAATGCATAAAAATCAGTATGTAACTATATACATAATTATTATTTTTTAATTCTCCCCGCCCTCACGTCTGATAAGAAAATTTTGGAAATGACATACCAAAATTTTTCAAAATATCGTTGCTAAAAGTCTTCTTTATGAGATACTTGCCTCAGTCACACGTGGCCTATCATTGACCATGCATCTCGTCTTTGGTAAACTAATTGAGTCACGTGTTATTATGCACGTAGAAAATAACTTTATAAGTTTAATCTTTCATTAAAATGTGTGACCTTCTTAGAAGTCAAGTTCAGTAATTAGAGCAAGAAGAAAAAAAATATTTAAAAAACTCCCGTCGAAAAAAATTAAAGTTATATAATAGTTTTTTATTAAAAAAAATTAGTAGGAACATATTTGAAAAGATTTATTTTAATTGCAAAAAGTGATAAATTATATTTTCAAGAAAGATATTATAAAAAAATGAACTGCTAAAGAATATTAGGTGAAAAAAAAAGACAATAGGTTAAAGAAAAAAGAAAAAAATAAAAAAGAGGAAAAGTTAAAAAATTAAAACAAAGAATTAAAGTTATACATGAGTTTTTTATTAAAAAAAATAAAAAAACAAAATAAAACTTAAGTAGAGATATTTGAAAGGAATTATTATAATTAAAATAAAGTATTTCAAAGAAAAATATTAGTTAAAAAATGAACTGTCAAAAAAATATTAGAGGAAAAACAAAAAAGACAATAGGCAAACGAAAAGAAGAAAAAAAAAGTAAAAAAAAAAAGACGAAAAGTAAAAAAAAAAAAAGAATAATGCGAACTTGTAGTCTCCTTATGAGCCAAGTTCAAAAGAGGCTTGGCTCTTTTTATATATGTTAGATTAAGTTAGATGTTAGATAATAAAGAATAAGAGAAGTACATGGTTTGTGATGGTTTTATGTAAGCCTATTATTTATGTCACTCTAAATAATTTGGTGTCATAATGATTTTTTATTTTCTCTTATTAATTAATGAATTATTTATTTTTGAGTGGAGTTACAAAAATAATATTTTTTTACCATATTTTAATCGTATTTTCAGTTTTTCTCCAAAAAGAATTAAGTCGTGGGGAAAAAGATAAAATGAAAAAATATTAAAAATTAAGTAAGAACATATTTAAAAGAAATTATTTTAATACAAATAAACTAAGGGAAAAAAGTATTTAAAAAAAATATGTTATAAAAAAGTTAAAATGCTTAGAAATGGAGAGCACTTGGGAAGAAATCAAAAGGTAAATAGGCAAAAAAAAAAGAATTAAAAAGAAAAAAAGAAAAGAAAATGAGCAAAAAGAAAAAAAAAAAAAAAGAGGATAAAGGACAAAAAGGAGACCAAATAAAAATTCCAAAAGGTAAGAAAGGGAAAAAAAAGAAAAAAAAAAGGAGGGGATGAGAAAGTATTGCCACATGGCAGCATGGGAGAAAAGAACTTTGGCTCTTTTTGAATATGACTAGTTGTAAAGATGCACTCCGCACTTGCGTCTTTAACATTTTTATTTTTTCGATATGGAGGTCTTAAATTAATTTTAGTAAATTTTATAGTTTATGTTTTTTTATAGTGTTTTCTTAAAAATTAAATAGAGTAGAAAAATATTAAATAGAGCAACATTAAAAGGAAAAAGGTTAGGTAAAAAATTATTTAGTGGTACACATGAAAGAAACTTATTTGAAAAAATTATAGATAAAATATTTTTGTAAAGATACATTCGAGAATAAGATATTAAAAATTATTTATAGGACATTTATAGTGAAAAAAGTATTTGAGTGAGTCATTTCGTAAAAGAAAGTATTGATTAGGAATATATGAGAAGAAATTATTTCAATAAGACAATTAGAGGAAAAAATATTTATGAGGGTCACATTTGAGAAAGAGAAAAGGAATGTATTATAGAGGAAAAAAAGGGAGGGAAGAAAGAAGTGAGGGGAAAAAAAAGGAGAAAAGAAAGCAAATATATATATATATATATATTAAGCATATGTAGTAAAATAAGTATATAAGACGGTCATTTCGTAAAGAAAAACAGTTTTTATTGCGACATATATGAGAATAAATTATTTTAATGGGACAATTAGATGAAAAGATTATGAAGGTCACATTTGAGAAAGGAAAAAAATGTATTGTAGAGGAAAAAAAAGGAGGAAAGAAAGAAGTGAGGGACAAAAAGAAAAGAGGGGAAGAGAAAAAAAAAATAAGTAAGAAAAAAAAAAACAGGTTAACATAAAACATTTTTTTTGTTAATGTGGGGCATAAACGTGCTACCGCACGCCCCCAAAAAAACCCATTCTCCTTTAGAGAATGGTAATAGATAGTAGATATGATAGATAGATGATAGTAAAGCTAGAAAAAAAAAATATTTTCAAAAAGCAAACTGTAGAAAATTAAACAGTAAAGAAACATTCACAAAATAAAAAAGACAAAAAAAAAATATTTAAATAATCAAAATGTAGGGGGGGGGGGGGGGGAAAGAGAAAGGAAAAAAGCCTAATAAAAAGGAAGAAAACAAAAAAGGAAAAAATGTCAAAAAAAAAAAAAGAAGATGAAAAAGCCTAATAAAAAGGAAGGAAAAAAACGGTGTAAGAAAGAAGGTCGGCTGCCACGTGGCAGCTGAGGGAAACCTCTTGAAAGTGAATAGTAAAAAGGTTTTGGTTCTTTTAATATACATTAGATGTTAAATTAGATTAAATTAAATTGGATAGATTTATTAGATAATAAATAGGTACGACCGAAATTATTTTAACAGAAACAAAACTGAGAAAAAAGTTATTTTAAGAAAGTACACCGTAAAAAACCATCGGGTTGGAAGAGGAAAAAAAAAAGCAAAAAACAAAAAAGAGTAAAAAAGTTAAAGAAAAATTAACAGTAAAATCTACATAATTTTTAATTTTTACGTAATTTTATATAAATTTAACAGATAAAAACCTGATTTATTATCATGTTAGCATACCATAGAAAGTTCAAAAAAAAAAGCAAAATGTCAAAAACAAAAATGAGTAGAAGCAAAAAGAAAAAAAAAATAAGAAGCAAAAAAAGAAGAAGCTGACACTTAGCAAAAGGAGCAAAAAGCTCTTTACATAGATATGAAAATCTAAAATTTCTTCTAACATTTATGTCACATTTAGTTTATAGATTAGAATCATGAGATTAGAACCATTTTTGATTTATGTGTATTTTTTATGAGAGAAAATACTGTAACGAACCATGAATCATGATTCGAATCAGTATACGAATTCCCTTACCAAAGACACCATTAGTTTTACTTATTTATTATTCTACTAATAGTTGAGTTCATTAAAAAAAAGTTTAATAGAACGCATAAGAAAAAAGAAAAAATTAGACAGTAAATTATTTATCGAGTATATATAAAAAAATAATTGAGAAGGTTGTATGAGAAAAATATTTAGCTAGGCATAGATACATCCGAGAAAAAAATTATTTGAGGAGAGTACTTAGGAAGAAACAATTATGGTGGTTACTTTTGAAAAAAAAAATGACTAAGAAAAATGTTTTGGTAATTACACATTTTAAGAAAATTTATTTTAACAAGAATAGATTAGAAAAACAAAATTTAATAAGGTTCATTTGAAAAGTAACAAAATATAAATAATGCAGGAAAATAAAAATAAGGTTCATTTGTCACAAAGAGTGTTATAATACTTTACTGTAACACTGTTTTAACATAAAATCTGAAATTAAACCAGCAAAATAGCAATGCAGGAAAATAATGCAGAAACATAAAGGACACCAGAAAATGATATCACAGTTCGGTGCGCACACCTACTCTACGGGGCCACGCCCAGACATTGAACAATCCACTAAGTTCCAAAAGATTACAAAACACCAACCGGACTTATACACTCAAAGACTCTCTCCTTGACGTTGTCGCCATCATGTCGAATCTCCTTAATGGCATTGTCCAGCGAGCACCACTCATCTTGATGGTTTCCTCTCGAAACCAAATAAATCTTCTCCCGAAAAACCAACTCGAAAGTGTTCTAACAATTCGTTGCAACACATCAAACAACACTTAACATTACAATCTCATTATGACATGAATAAAATCATCTTTTCAGTTTTCAGCCCTCTCTCTGTTTCTAAAATAACACCTCACTACACATTCTGCCATTCCCGCCCTTTGCAGCCAATAAACCTGACAGCAAGACTTTCTTTAAGAGGGCCACCAATTTACAATGTCAGCCAATCTTACAATCAATTTGCCAAAAATAAGCCAATACAAAATGCACTAACAATTATTTTAGTGGGCCAATTAAAAAAATTATAAGGATCAGTTTCGATATAAAAAGTATTGCATGAAAAAAATTAAGTAGAGACTTATTTGTAACAAATTATTTAAAAAGAACATGAGAGGGAAAAAAACTACTTAAAAAAAGCATATTGAGAAAAAGTTACAATGTACAAAAAAATAAATAAACTAAGGACACATTTGAAAGAAGTTATGTAAACAAAAATAAAGCAGGAGAAAAGTATTTGGAAAAGAGACATCATAAAAAAATAAACTGTATAGGAACTTTAATGCAACCAAAAAAAAAAGGAAAACAGGGAAAAAGACAAGAAAAAAAAGTGAAGAATTAGAAGAGGTGACGCACAGAAAAAAACAAAACAAAATATCAAGATTTAAAAAAAATGAAAGAAAGAACGAGAGACAAAACCGATTCGAACCAACAAGGGTAGAGTTATCATTAATTAAACCAATCCTTATATTCATCTGAATATTAAAATCTTAACAACTTAGGTATGGCTTCCTTCTTTAATCGTACCTTAACATGTAAATTTACAAAATTAACCTCTATTAAACGGTACATGGTACTCCTGTTACCTTTTTCGGTCGAGACTTTAACAATTCGAACCAAAAATGGGATTAACTCAACGTTCTTAACTAAATGCGCAGCATTTCATGCGTGTAATCTAATGCATTTACAAAAATCAAGGTTTAGGCCTCAATAGTTATAACTAGCTCTGTAGATGAAAGATTGAAAGAGGTTTTTTAAGCACAAAGAAAGAAAAGAATAGTAATAAGCCAACTCCAAAGGAAAGGTTAATTGTCCCACCAGGGAAAGTTTAGAATAAATTGATGCAGAAATCAACAAGGAAAGTTATTTGATTTTCTACAACGTTAATGAACCTGATCAAATGGTTTTTTCCGTGCTATATATACCTAAACAAATGGTTTGTTTCCATGATCAGTACACAAAACATCACATTTCAGCTTAATTAAGAATTTCATTGAGATCAATGGCAAATGTTCCGCATAACCCGGTTGTTGACGAGATTGTACCTAGATCTGCTTGGACAGAGGACTCAAATGGCCATTATCTTGAAGTTGATATTCCTGGTATTTATCCAAAATCTTCACCTTCACTATTTTACATGGTTTTGCAATATCTTGATTATTTTCCTTTTAATTTTTTGTTTGCCCCCTTGATATGGTTTTCTTTTCCTCCTATATCAATTTTTTTGTAATATATATATATATATATATATATATATATATAATGGATCTTATTTTATCTTTGTTAGAAAAGTGAAGAATTAAATAAGGGAAAAGGAGACGAGTATAGGCCTAAAACTATATATGATGAAAAACAATGACACATCTCTAGAAATAATATCCCATACGTTTTGAGGACTAAAATATGAAACCAAAGTACTCAAAAGATTATTTTCATAAATGCTACTTCACATATGGACCTAACTTTAAAATGCACCCCAACTTTTCAAAACATCCTCAATCTCCACCTCTCAGATTTATAGAAAACCGCTCCAAAGGTCCCTTCATCCAATTTCATCTATAATCCTAACGGATTTGTTACATGACATATTATTAAAAATTTAAAATTAAAATATAATAAAGAAGAAATAAACAAAACAAAAAAACTTGAATTTAATAAAAAAGTAATATAAAAAAAAAACCTTATCAATCACGCCCAAACCCAAGAAGCCATCCTATTTTATCTTGTAACCAAACGCTCCCCAATGCCCACCCACCCCCTCCTCTCCCTTAATGACAACAAGCAGTTGGGAGAATGAAGTTGGAAATGGGAGTTTCTTAAAATATATATATATTTCATAAGTTTTTTTTAATCTTTAGTTTATAAATTTTTTTAATTAAGTTTTGCAGTAATTAATTCTTTTTTTTTTCAACTTAATGGATTTTTAATATTTTAATATGAGCACCGCATCATTCAATTTTCTTAGAAAAAAATGTTAAGATCACTTAAAATGTCACTCTCTTTCTCACTCCCCGTGTTCTCTTTTTGACCTGTGGCTTCATATTTTCAAAACAATGAAACTTTTATTGCAGACCATTTTATAACAATTTATTACAAATCTGCCATTCATACATTTTACAGCATTACCATTGTACTATTTTTAAGTTTTTACTCCTACTTTTTTTTTTTTTTTTACGTGTATGCCTAATATTTGTTTTCCTTGAAAAGTCCAAAATATTATTTCTTTCCTTTAGTCAAACGTAAAACAATCAAATAATGTCATCAACAAACAAAAGCCTAAATGATATTTAAATAATATTTATTGTATTTTTATTAAGCAAAAATAAATTTTCTTCCAAAAAAGTTATTGTAACGAAAAGCTATTAACATAAAGAAGAGTAAAATGTCAGAGCTAGTCTTTTACCGTCTAATATGTTTGATCTAAAATATGTGGAGGATTCGACCCAAAGAAAAAACATGGAGGAAGAAGCTACTTTAATATGTTTAGAGTGTGTTTGAATGTGATTTGGGCTACAATGATTCTTTTTTTTTTTTTTTTCTTTTTAATAGTCTTTGTTATATGGAAAGCCAGAAGATGAAATAGTTCTCTGCTTTTTTCTGCTTTAAATATTTAACATAGCAAGAGAGTCGCTACCAAAGAAATAAAAAATCCTACAAAAGTTGCGTGTAAAAACACATTCCTTACTAGTTATCTCTAGGTTCTTTTCTCTCTTTCTATTCGTGAATAGTTATAGCTAGTTTCTCGTTGTTTACACTATTAGGTAATGGCAGATTTGCAATTAAACAATACAAGTATGGTTTACAATTAAACTTTACTTTTATGGAGAAGTGTGAAGTCAAATGGGTAACCCCAACATTTATTTTTTGTTAAGAATATAGACGAAAGTAGATTGAAGATGTATTTTAAACCATTTTCTGTATATCGAGTGGTCTTTTGAATGGTTTTAAAACTTGTGGGGCGTTTCGAAACTAGATCCATAAAACTGGGAGAATTTATGAAAATAGTCCAAGTACTCAATCTATAAACTCTTAAAACATTTTACAATTACTCAATTGAGAAACTTAAATTTCAAATTTTATGTGACTTTTTGTTCTAAGGTTTCAAGAAAGACCAGATGAGAGTACAATTTTTAGAATCTGGATTTATAAAGATCAATGGAGAAATGCCAATCAATGGGGACAAACATGTTCGATTTGAGCAGAAATTTAAGGTTCCAGACAACTTAGACACAAATGGCATCAAAGCAAAATTTAATGGTAAAATTCTCATCATAACCATTCCAAAGTACAAGGCAGAAAAGAAGGAAGAGCCCGAACTGGATGGCATGAAGGACCAAGGTGTTGCTCCAAAAGACGAGGAGATAGAGAAAGAACATGAACCCATTGGCAAAAAAGATCAAGGAGAAGAGAAAAAACCTGAACCTACAGACATAAAGGATCAAGATGATATGCCAAAGGACAAGAAAGAAGAGAAGAAAGAGCCTGAACCTGTTGGCATAAAGGATGAAAAGCCAGAAGAGAAGAAAGAACCTGAACCTGTTGGCATAAAGGATGAAAAGCCAGAAGAGAAGAAAGAACCTGAACCTACAGACATAAAGGATCAAGATGATATGCCAAAGGACAAGAAAGAAGAGAAGAAAGAGCCTGAACCTGTTGGCATAAAGGATGAAAAGCCAGAAGAGAAGAAAGAACCTGAACCTGTTGGCATAAAGGATGAAAAGCCAGAAGAGAAGAAAGAACCTGAACCTACAGGCATAAAGGATGAAAAGCCAATGCCAAAGGACAAGAAAGAAGAGAAGAAAGAGCCTGAACCTGTTGGCATAAAGGATCAAAAGCCAGAAGAGAAGAAAGAACCTGAACCTACAGACATAAAGGATCAAGATGATATGCCAAAGGACAAGAAGGAAGAGAAGAAAGAACCTGAATCTGTTGGCATAAAGGATCAAAAGCCAGAAAAGAAGAAAGAACCTGAACCTACAGACATAAAGGATCAAGATGATATGCCAAAGGACAAGAAGGAAGAGAAGAAAGAGCCTGAACCTGTTGGCATAAAGGATCAAAAGCCAGAAGAGAAGAAAGAGCCTGAACCTGTTGGCATAAAGGATCAAAAGCCAAAAGAGAAGAAAGAACCTGAACCTGTTGGCATAAAAGATCAAAAGCCAGAAGAGAAGAAAGAACCTGAACCTACAGACATAAAGGATCAAGATGATATGCCAAAGGACAAGAAGGAAGAGAAGAAAGAGCCTGAACCTGTTGGCATAAAGGATCAAAAGCCAGAAGAGAAGAAAGAACCTGAACCTGTTGGCGTAAAGGATGAAAAGCCAGAAGAGAAGAAAGAACCTGAACTTACAGACATAAAGGATCAAGATGATATGCCAAAGGACAAGAAGGAAGAGAAGAAAGAGCCTGAACCTGTTGGCATAAAGGATCAAAAGCCAGAAGAGAAGAAAGAGCCTGAACCTGTTGGCATAAAGGATCAAAAGCCAGAAGAGAAGAAAGAACCTGAACCTGTTGGCATAAAGGATCAAAAGCCAGAAGAGAAGAAAGAACCTGAACCTACAGACATAAAGGATCAAGATGATACGCCAAAGGACAAGAAAAAAGAGAAGAAAGAGCCTGAACCTGTTGGCATAAAGGATCAAAAGCCAGACGAGAATAAAGAACCTGAACCTGTTGGCATAAAGGATCAACAACCAGAAGAGAAGAAAGAACCTGAACCTACAGACATAAAGGATCAAGATGATATGCCAAAGGACAAGAAGGAAGAGAAGAAAGAGCCTGAACCTGTTGGCATAAAGGATCAACAACCAGAAGAGAAGAAAGAACCTGAACCTACAGACATAAAGGATCAAGATGATATGCCAAAGGACAAGAAGGAAGAGAAGAAAGAGCCTGAACCTGTTGGCATAAAGGATCAACAACCAGAAGAGAAGAAAGAACCTGAACCTGTTGGCATAAAGGATCAAAAGCCAGAAGAGAAGAAAGAATCTGAACTTACTGACATAAAGGACCAAAGTGTTGTACTAAAGCAAAATGAGGAAGAGAAGAAACAACCCATACTTGCAGACATAAAGGATCAAGGCGCTGTTAGAACACGTAAGGAAGAAGAGAAAAAAGAACATGAACTGATTGACATGAAAGATCAAGTAGTTACTCCTGAACCTGTCGGCATAAAGGATAAAAAGGCAGAAGAAAAGAAAGAACCTGAACCTGCTGACATAAACGACCAAAGTGTTATTTCAGAGCACAAGGAAGAAGAGAAGAAAGAACTCGTACCTGCTGACATAAAGGATCAAGGTGACCTAATTCCAACAGACAAGGCAGAGGAGAAGAACGGTCCTGAACCTGTTGGCATAAAGGATCAAAAGCCAGAAGAAAAGAAAGGACCCGAACCTACTGGCATAAAGGACCAAGGTGACCTTATTCCAACAGACAAGGCAGCGGAGAAGAACGGTCCTGAACCTGTTGGCATAAAGGATCAAAAGCCAGAAGAAAAGAAAGGACCCGAACCTACTGGCATAAAGGACCAAGGTGACATTATTCCAACAGACAAGGCAGAGGAGAAGAAAAGTCCTGAACCTGTCGGCATAAAGGATAAAAAGGTAGAAGAAAAGAAAGAACCTGAACCTGCTGACATAAACGACCAGAGTGTTATTTCAGAGCACAAAGAGGAAGAGAAGAAAGAACTTGTACCTGCTGACATAAAGGATCAAGGTGACCTTATTCCAACAGACAAGGTAGAGGAGAAGAAAGGTCCTGAACTTGTTGGCATAAAGGATCAAAAGCCAGAAGAAAAGAAAGGACCCGAACTTGCTGGCATAAAGGACCAAAGTGACATTATTCCAACAGACAAGGCAGAGGAGAAGAAAGGTCCTGAACTAGTCGACATAAAGGATCAAAAGCCAGAAGAAAAGAAAGAACCTGAACCTGCTGACATAAACGACCAGGGTGTTATTTCAGAGCACAAGGAGGAAGAGAAGAAAGAACTTGTACCTGCTGACATAAAGGATCAAGGTGTTGTTCCAGAGCATAAGGAAGAAGAGAAAAGAGAACCCAAACTCACTGAACTGAAAGATCAAGGTGTTATTCCAAAAGAAATGGAGGTTGAGAAGAAGGAACCTAAACCTGATGGCATAAAAGATCAAAAGCCGAAAGAGAAGAAAGAACCTAAACCTGCTGGCATAAAGGATCAAGATGGTCTAACAGACAAGGTGGAGAAAAAGAAAGAACTTGAACCTATTGGCAAAAAGGATCAAGAGCTGAAAGAAAAGAAAGAACCTGAACCTGCTGACATAAAGGACCAAGGTGTAGTTCCAAAGCACAAGGATGAAGAGAAGAAAACACCTGAACCCGATGGCATAAAAGATCAAGGTGTTGTTCTACAGTATAAGGAGGAAGAAAAGAAAGATCAACTTGAACCTACTAGCATGAAGGATCAAGGTGTTGCTTCAATGCATAAAGAAGAAGAGAAGAAAGAACCCGAACCTCCTGGCATAAAGGATCAAGGACGTGTTATTCTAATACACATGGTAGAAAAGGAGAAAGAACATAAACCGGCTAGCGTCAAGGATCAAAGTGTGAATGGTACCACAGAAGAGCATATACATGAAACATCAAATGATAACAAAGTGAAAAAGAAAGACGATAGTGTACATGCTAATGACCTCCACGTCTGTGAAAGTGAGAAGGAAGAAGGAAGTTATAGAACTCCTCCTATAAGTTCCTCTGAAGATTCCATGAGTAGATCAGAAAGTGAGCCTAGTTATCTAAGAACTGGAATAGACATATTGAGCAAAAACAAAGAGATTATATTAGCAACCATGTTAGCAGTCTCATTAGGGGTGTTTGTAACTCGTAAAATTCGAGGTAGAGAAAAGAAGGCTCCCTAATCTTTGTAATGTTGCTTTTAGCTTCTCATATCCTCATGTTATGTAACTCATTCCAGAATTCTAGCTCATGTTAAGTAACTTATACCACATAATATAATACACATGGAATGAATATATTTACCTAGCTGATTCAAAGGATAAAGCTTATGTAAGATTTTCATGCATGTTAACAGATATGTTAATTTCTTAATCTATTTCAACCTGCAGTAAGCATGAAATCTTCAAGAGACTCTTTGAACGTCTTAACTTTTTTTTTTTTTTGTTACAATAGATTCAGGGAAACCATCTCCTTAGTCTTAATCTAAAGTAAAATAAGTTTATGATCATAAAAGCATGCACAACTTATGTTTTTCCTGCTAGAAACCTAACAAAATGAATGTTGGCTTTGTTAGTCTTAATCTTAAGTAAAATAAGTTTCTGATCATAAAAGCATGCACATAAACTTATGTTTTTCCTGCTAGAAACCTAACAAAATGAATGTTGGCTTTGTGGACTCCGATACAAATTTTCACATCAAATTTGAAAATAGAGTTGGAAGAACCTTTATGTCAGCAGATAAACATCCAATACATTACTCAACTATTCCAATTGATGATCGTTGTGAGATATGAATGAACAAACATAAAAAAGTACCAAATTATTTGATGAGGAGAAATGTCAGAACTATTTATTAAGCTAGTACCTCTGTATTTGCGATATGATATGCCAGTTTCTTTCCTTTCAGTCTAAAAAAAAAAATAGTCAAATAAGAAAAACATAAAATCTAAAAGAAAACATTGTTTTATAATAATTTTAGATTGAAAGTGCAAAATCATTATTTTGTGTCAACAAGAAGGCATTATATATATTTATGTGTGTGTGTGTGTGTGTGTGTGTGTGTGTGTGTATAATAGGAACGAGACAACTTTCTTTTAATAATGGTGCTTCAATAGAATTTTATCCCCAAAAAAAAACAAAAGAAAAAGTTGCTTCAAGAGCGAGCTTCACTCAATATAGAAGTGCTTGGAATATCAAATGTAACCAAGATTATTTTACTATCCATGTATTAACTTGTGATATTCAAAAATTAATATTACATAACTAGATAGATATGTGTGTGTGTGTGTGTGTGTGTGTGTGTGTTGGGTTGAATGGAGTTGATAAAGTTCATAAATTAGTGAAGCATAATTCACAACTACACCAATCATTCTTATTTGTCAATAAGAATGAAGGGAAAATAACCTTTATTGACCAGTTCAATCTAAATTAATATGATTCAGTGTGATATTGAATCTCATTCGCATAATTTTCTTTATTTACAAACCCCTCTAAGCTGATCATTTGCAACTTAAGGAAGAAATAGTTCATGACTTATGTAAGCTTAAGAAATAGTTGAAGCCCATTTGCTAAGAATGAAGAAAGTGGAAGAAAGTTTAAGGACTAAACATACCAATTACTCAAAAGAAAAATTTAAGGTATAATAGTCCAAATTAATTACCCTAAAAAATATATACACACACATTCTGTTTTTTTTCCCTTATCATGCCAAAATCTGTTTATACATTCTTTCAGAATATTTAAAAAAAAAAATGAAAGAAACTTAAACGCTTGTACAAAAACAGTTAGAATTTTTGGCAAGAAAACTTGGACTAGAAGCAAATTGAAGCGGCAACCGGCAGCAGAATCGGAGGTAAGGAAGGTCACAAGCAGGAGAAAAAAAAAGGTATTAACTATGGCATTTACTGCATGTAATTTAATGCATTAACACAAATAAAGGTTTAGGCCTCAACAATATAAGATTGGTGCCTCCAAAAGGAGCACCACCTTAGAACATTAAGCCACCTCACTTACTAAGATGACCTTTTGAGATGGACATAAAGTCCTTAAAAAGTTCAATTTCCAACGTGAACACAAAGAAAGCAAAGAATAATGAGCCACCTCCAAAGGGGGCGCTAATAGTTTCACCAGGGAAAGCTAGGGATAAAAAAATGTAGAAATCCACAAGGAAACCTATTTGACTTTGCACCATCTTAATTAACATGATTAGCTAGAACGGTTTATATATATACAAGCACATGACGGTTTGTTTTCATGATCATGACACAAATTAAACCATCACATCTCTGCTTGATTAAGAATTTCATTAAGGTCAATGGCAAATGTTAGAGGCTACGTTACTCAACCGGTTAACCCGGTTGTTGAAGAGATTAACCTAGTTTTGGTTGGACAGAGAACTCAGACAATCATTATCTTCTACTTCTTCCTGGTATTGATCCAAATCTTTACCATATTACTATTCTACATGGTTTTGCAATATTTAGTTTGTTATTTGGTTTTGCAATATTTAGTTTGTTATTTCCCTTGTTAATGTTATTGTATGTTCCCTTGACATGATTTTATTTTCCTCCAATGTTCAAAAGTTATCTGAAAAAAAGGGTAATGAATCTGATTTTATTCCTATAAAAAAGTAAAGAAACCAAGATAGAAATTCTTAATTTCCAACCAGTATGAAAATTTTCTCCCTGAATAGGACTATATAACCATATATAATGAAATGTTACATATAACCACGATGTAACAAAGTAATATATGCATCACATGAAACTGGTTAACAAGATCCTTATGGGGAATCCCATATGTGAGGACTAAATTCTGGAAGCAAACACAATCTTCAAAACTCTTGAAACATTCTACAATAGTCAATTGAAAAACTATGCTTTGACATTTTCTTTTTTTTATACTTTTATTACTTAATAGGTTTCAACAAGAGCCATATCAGAGTACAAGTTCTTGATTCTGGGCATATAAGGGTCATCGGTGAAAGGCTGGTAAATCAGAATAAATAAGTTCAATTCATGAAGGATTTCAAGGTTCCAGAAAACTCAAACTTAGATGACATCAAAACAGCATTTGAAACTCGAATTCTCTACGAAAGCAAGAAGGAAGAAGGAAACTATAGAACTGCTCCTATGAGTTTCTCTGAAGATTCCATGGGGAGATCAGAAAGTGAGCCGAGTTGTCTAAGTGCAATGGACATGTTGAGCAAAAACAAAGAGATTATATTGACAGCCATATTAGCATTCTCATTAGGGATATTTGTATCTCAGAAAATTCAAGGTAGAGAAAAGAAGGCTTTCTCATCTGTGTAACGTTGCTCCAAGCATATTCTATCATCAACTTATGTAATTTTTACCACATAATACAATAATATTGGAATGAATATTTTTCTAGCTAACATAAAAGATAAAGTTTATGTAGGATTTTCATGCATGTTAACAGATATCTTAATTTCTTAAACTGTTTCAACCTGTAGTAAGCATGAAATCTTCAAGACTCTTTGAACATCTTAAACTTTGGTTTGTTGCTATTCATTAGGAAAACCCTCGCCTTAGTCTTTATCTGAGGTAAAACAAATTTGCAATCATAAAAGCATGCACACAAACTTATGGTTTTGCTGCTATAACCCTAGCAAACTGGATATTGACTTTGTGGACTCCAATACAAATTTTCACATAATTTGAAAATAGAGCTATAAGAACCTTTATGCAGCAGATAAACAACGAATACATTACTCAACGGTTCCAATTGATGATCCTTGTGAGATTTGGATGAAAAAATACCAAAGTGATTATTTGAATTCCCTTATTTAATAAGGAGAAAATACCATAACACTTTATTGAGCTGGCACCTCTATATTTAAAAAAGTCAACTGGAGTATATTGTTATTCAAAATAATATCATTAAGTAAATAAGATACACTGTTATTTAGAATAAGATCATTTAAGTACTCTGAAGTAATCATTTTAAGACATTATACGACAGTTCCTTTCTTTTAATTCAAATAATATAGTTAAATAAGGAAAAAATAAAATTTAAAGAAAATATATTGTTTTATAATATTTTTTGAGGAGTTTTTCTAGTAGTCCTGAAAAACAAACTACCGAAAAGTTTCTATTTTTAACTGTCAAATTTGTAAAAAATCTGTATGTTATACATTTTTTTCAATCTAATGTATTTTTAATCAAATGTAATGGTTAGAAACAGATCCTACTAATAGAGAGGTTCTACCAGAGAAACTCCCTATTTTTAGTTTCTCAATTTTTAAATTAAAAGGTCAAAATCATCATTTTATGTCAACATGATAATCCTACTGAAAGCATTATACACACACACACATGTATATACTCTCTTTCTAAAAGTGAGAATAGTTTTCTAGGTGGGGTGTGCTCGTATTGCTGTCCCCCATTTCATTGCCCCTCAATTTTTTTTTTTTTTTTTACTTTTTTAGCTTTTTTTAACTCTTTTTTTGTTTTTTTGGCCCTTATCTTTTTTTATTGCATCTTTAATATTCAATTTTTATATATTTTTAAATATTTTTCTTTTAAACATTTTTTCTTACAGTAATTTAGAATTTTTTTTCTCATTATCCTGCTAAATTAATTTATTTTTAAAAGTATCTTTACATAAAAAAAAATATAATTTACTTCTTATAAATGTCAGTTTTAATTGCGAAACAGTTCACAAAAGATTTTTTCTTAAGTTTTTTTTGTCTTTTTTTTCCTGTCTTTTGCTTCGTATCTTTTTTCCCGCAAAGAAAAAACAAAATCAATCCATGCCTACGAAGCAATCTTTTTCACACACACACAAAAAAAAAAAAAAAAAAAAAAAAAAAAAAAAAAAAAAACCTACCTTCCAATGTCAAAACTGGTAATTAAAGTTTCTTCCTTAGATAACTACAAATTCTTACCTACACAAGATGCCGGTGGATTGCAAGCAGAGCGACAATGCAAAACCCGAAGGAGGCACCAATCAGAAATCCCTAATTTTCCTAGCAAGAATGAGAATGCAGAATAAAGGAGGGAAGAAACTCAACAACCCAGAATCTGAAATCCCAAAATCTGAAATTGGGAGAGCAATCACACTTCGAGAGAGAAGAGAGAGACCAATCAGAAATCCCTTTCCTTGCGAGACTGCAAATGCATAACGAAGAGAGAAGAACGCCCACAGCCCAAAATCTTAAA